GAGTTTGCTTGAGTGTATGTTTCTCTGCTTACAGGTTTATTACCCAGTGAGACATCACCTGGTTCAGCACATGATCAGTGCTATGCAGCGATTGGGCTTCACCCCTAGTGTAACTATTGAGCAGAGGAAGTTGGCAGTGGACTTAGCTGAGGTGGTCATCAAATGGGAGCTCCAGAGAATCAAAGACCAACAGGTCTGTTACCAGGAAATGAGTGTTCTTATTATAGAAACAGTGTTTTGGTCTTTTGTGATTAATTTAATGTAATTAAAATGCATTGTCCTTTAAATCCGGTCATTTTATTGGGTATGAAGCCGGAATCGGAAGCTGATCCAGTAAGTGTGGGCGAGGGCACGAGCGGAGCCTCTGGTGCTATGAAGAGAGGAATGTCTGTTGACACGGCACAAGACGTAAAGAGATTTCGCACTGCTGCTGGTGCTGTCAGCACGGTGAGGAAACCTTAAACCACTCGCCGCAGCTTGAGGGTGACCACTGTAATCAGTCTCTTGCTCTCTGTGCCCTGATGGACCGTGCCATGTTTGAGTACATTGGCTGTATTGTGTTTGTGTTTGTATGTGCAGGTCTTTGGCCGCAGTCAGTCGATGCCAGGTACAGAGGCTCTACTTACCAAACCAGTGGAAAAACAGCACACAGATACTGTGGTCAACTTCCTCATCCGCATCGCCTGCCAGGTAGTTATCTCATACCTGCTTAGTGAGTCTTTCTGGGGTCCACTAATACTTACATAAGCTAACTTCTGCTCTGTGTCTGCAGGTAAATGATAGCACTAATGTGGCAGGCTCTCCCGGTGAGCTGCTGTCCCGTCGCTGTGTGAACCTCATGAAGACTGCCCTCCGACCAGACATGTGGCCCCGTGCCGAACTTAAACTGCAGTGGTTCGACAAGCTCCTTATGACTGTGGTAAGTCTGAAAGCTTGTGGGTTTTGGTTTCTTTTCTTTTATTCTTATATAATAAATTATTTATATAAATTTGAGGCTGCATGGGAGATTTATGAGTTCTTGCCTCATTATCTAAAAGCAAACGGATAAATATCCAGACCAATTTAAAAAAAAAAAAAACAGCAAATGGCATGCATGAAACTACAAATTCACTCTGACAATAGGTGGCGCTCTTAGAAAAGCAGAAATAGCCTGGTTACTCTGCGACACAAAGTGTTAAATAACTTTCTGTTTCTGAATTCATTTGTCACAGAGAAGAAAGGAGGTGAAACAGTGTTTGCATGTTTTCAAACTACCGTTCAGATTTTTGTGTTCCCTATGGTGTTAATCTAATAACACCAAATAAAAGAGTGCAGAAATAAGAGAGCCAGTTCTGGGATTCTTCCTCTGCTGTTCACTGAATCTTAGTAAATCTGCATCTCACATCACTCTTCATTATTTCCAGTGCCTTTCCAAGCAGTTTTTATGTCAGCCAAATCGATATCCTCACTCTTATGAATGATTTTTCTTTCTTTGGAGTTCACTGGTGTGACTAACTCAGCTGTCATCTGAGAGAACAGCTCTCAGTTAGTGAGCATCCACCACCTGCACTATTATCACTGCAACCTCCCAGCCCTCTCTCACTTCCTCTCTCATTCCACCTGTTATTAGGCAG